ACGTTCGCCCTTCACGAACATGAAGACAAACTGCAAGACGCCTGCGCCGCAAACGCCTTCAACTTAAAAGTTGTTGTAACAGCCTGGAAACGAACAACGAACGGTCTATAGTCTAGCTGTCTCTCCGACGAGCTGCCACACGTGCAATATTGCCCACGAGCCTGCATGATTCAATGCTTCAGTCAGCCAGCCAGTCAGATTACCCCCCCCCACACACACACACGTTTGCAGGCATTTCGAATAAGCCCAGGATAAGCAAGTCAAAGCAGCTGCCGCAACGTCCGAAGCATCCTCCAAGTCCGTTACCGCCGCCGCCAGCAAGACGATCCTCGAGTCCCTCACATCCATCTCGTCCGACCCCAGCGGGACGCGCCATCATCGACGCGGCCGCGCCTGCTTCAGCACTGTAGACCTACATCGCCAGGCTCAAGGCTTCGGCTGCAGCGTGGGAGAAGCTATGCACGGCAAGCAGGAGCACGTGCACCTGGCCGCATACCCGACCTCACCGGAGCATGGGACAGAGCCCCTGGCCCGACTACATTTTGGCGCAGCAGTTCGCAAGAGTGCGGGCGTAACGAACTGGACAGGGCCCCCCCGCCGGCTAGCTCCGCGCACCCAGCATCGAGAACACCCTCTTAGTTTTCAACGCCGTCGGCCCCGCCGGGCGCCACTCATTCCAGCTCAGATGCGGCACTGTGGCTGGCCAGCCCCGCACACAGCGCCTCAACGCAACGCTACGCGTCGTCGGATTGGACTGGGGAACCTTTGATATTGCTGGTGGTCGCGGCGTTGTTCCATGTCACGTTTCTGCAGACGAGAGCCCGAATAATGTCCGCCAAGAAGTCCGAGTCAAACGCCTCACCGTGATCGTGCAAAATACAAGGCCGTTCGTCGACCTCCTTGTCCATCGGCCCCTCGGCTACACGTCGAACCGCGGGGAGGCCCTGGCGCGTCTCCACCTGGATGCGTCTGCTGATGCGCCCGCATAGCTGCAGTGGTCCAGCGCACCCATCGACCGTGGCTTCGACGACGGCACCCTGCGCGCCATCAACGCCGAGTTCGCTGACAGCTTCACGGACGCCGGCGCGCAGGCGCAGTGGATTCAGCCACCGCTGGAGCCCGCGGCCCCTGAAGCTTTCGCAAGGGGCCTGCGCGTCGCATTCTGGAACGCGCGCGCCCTTCTCGGGCGATCCCATCAGCGCCGCGATGACAAGCGCCATCTCCTACTCCCACACGTTCGCCAACGAGCTCTGCTGGCCCTCCAAGAAACGCGCGGCGCTTTCGAAGACTTGCAGCTGTTCGCCAATTCGACGCAGCACTCCCACAAGCCGTTCCACTCCCGAGTGATCTTTGACGGAGAGCTCGTCGGCAACGCGGGCGGCGTCGGCTTCTCCGCGCCATCCGACAGGCGCGGGCTCCGGCCCCCGCCACATTTGATGTCCTCAACACAAGCTTAGAGTCGCCATCCCTGGCAGCGCCGCTTGGCTGCGCGTCGCGGATGCCAGCCCCCTGTGCGACGTCGCAACCCTCGACGTCCGCGACCGCGACTTTTTCCTGCTGACTGATAGCTACTACAAGCAGAATGATTCGACTATGTGCTCGCGCAGACGAGCTTCCATAGCTACGGCCGCGCACGATCGCCAGTGGCTTCGACGTCCCAGAGCCCCCGCCCAGATCCACCGGCTCCCCCGTCCACTCGGACACTTCGGCCGCGCAGGGGCATCGCCGCCGACCGCGCCGCCGGCGCGCCCTGTCCCGCGACGTCGTCGAGATTGCCGCAACTTCGGCCGCGCGCAGATCCGAGGCCGTCGCGAGCGAGTTCACGATCGACCGGTGCCTCGCCAAGCTGCCCAGCCTCTGGGCGCCGATGATGGGGGCCGCCTGCGTCGCTGGCGACGCCGCTCGAGAACATGAAAGAACGGCCCATAAGCGACCGCAGGGCCATGAACCCGCGAATTCGCTCGAGCAGGCCGAGACATTTCCGCGCGCGTGGAACCCCAGCTATGCATCGTCGATTCAGCCCACTACGACCACCACGTCAAGCGCGCCCTCGACTCGTCGGACGCGTCGCAGATCAACCCCGCCGCGAAGTGGAGGGCGCCGGAGACGGCGACGCAAGTGGCCACGGCAAGGACTCGCGACGCTCTGACCAAGATGTCCGAAGCTGAGTTGACATCGCAATCCCGCGTTCTATCTCGGGAAACGCGCGCCAGGACCCTTCGCGGGGTCGCCGGAGCGATCTGGCACAATGGCGTCGCTCTCGCCGCGCCGCTGATCGACGACACCGCCGCGCGCAAGCATCCCTTCTGCGTCGCGGGCGACAGGGTCTCCATTAACAGCGTGGCCGCTTTTGGCCTGCGTCGGCAAGGCGCGCGGGGCGAAGGCTGCCGCGCGCGCGCTGCCATTGCGGCCAGGAACGCCCCCCTCGGCCAGATGTGGCGCCGGCAGACCACGCGGGGAGGTCCGTCCTGGAAACCCTTCTCGAAGCGCTCTGTTCTCGCTGGAGTCGCGCGGATCATCGCCGGCCCCGCATCCATCGTCGCCGCCGACGCCGCCGCGACGGCCCAGGCCATCGCGCAGCACTGGGCACTGGGCCTCGCCCGGAAGCGCCCCGACGCCGATGTCCTGACCGAGCGCCAGGGCCTTGTTTTCCACCGGCGCTCCTCGCTGACCAGGACCTCCCCGGCGCGCCGCGCGCCTCAGGGGCGACTTGGACCGTGGGCCAGGCGACCTGCCGCGTGCCCTCGACTACCCCCTCATGGCCACGCCCCCGAAGGGAGACGAGCCGCTAGGCAGCGCGGAGCGCGCGCGCGTCCCCGGCTGCCTCCGCCCACTTTCAATGGAGAGCGCCGACGCCACGCCATTGCCATCAGCAGCCAGCCGTCGGCTCCATCCGCTTGCTGCCCAGACGGCCCCCGAGACGCGGGGCTTCGTCAACCGCCGCGGAATCTTTGCCCACTTAGTTGCAGCCGATGCTGAGGCTCGACGACTTAGTCTCTCTCCCACGGCGGATGCCAACGCGCCCGTTTTCGTCGGCATGCACATCGCAGCGGCCTTCCCCAGCCTTGGCCACCAGTGGATGTGGGGGGCGCTCGGAAGACGGGGCATTCATGGCAGCATGGTGAAGTTTCTGCAAGCCTGCCACCGCTGGTCCGTCGCGCACTTGGACGCGGAGGGAGGGCGCCGCCCCGTGCTAGTTGCAGAGCCGGGCGCGGCGCAAGGATGCCCCTTGGGCGGCGTCATATGGGCTCTCGTCTTCGACCCTTTCATCGTCGCCATCGCCCGCGAACTACTGCAGATCGGGCGTGGCCTTTTCAGTGCATGCGCCGACGACCTAGACTCTGTCCTCTCCAGGTCCCACGACAACAGCAAGCTCGCCCCTCGCCTGCGCGCCGCCGAGTCGCTCGCTGGCCTCCACCCGTTGGCCAAGAAGCGCATCGTCGCCCCGATCTGGGCTTGCCTATGGCAGGATCTCGTCGCCGAGATGCGCCAGGTTCTGGCCAACGCCCACCATGCCTGGAATAATTCAAGATCGACGCCAAGGCGCGCCACCCAGGCTTCTGCATCATCCCAGGAGCCACGGTGACTGACCAATGCCGCGGCCCATCTTTGAAGTGGTGGGACCGCGTCGAGAAGCTAGCCACCTCGCGCGCTCCGCTCCAGCAGCGCATCAAGCCGTGAAACACTGCCGCCGCCACCTGCCTCGGCGACGACGGGCAACTCTTCGAGCCGCCAGACGGCATCCTGGAGAAGGAGCCCCAGGCCTTCCACAAGCAGCCGCGCGTCTCGCCGTCCAGCTTCGCGAAATCCTTTTCCCCATGGCCTTCTGGGCCAAGACCGAAATCCCGAGCGGAATTGTGATACGTGCCTGGCAGCCACAGCATGGAGGAGTGCGGCGACCAGCGTGACAGAGCGGAGGACAGCACTGCCTTCCACGAGCTCCCCATCGCCGCCGTGCAGCAGGGCGCGCGGTGCAACGTGTGACAGGAGATAAAGATCGCGATCGCGATCGCGCAGCGCATCGAGGTCGTCGCGAACTCCACGTACCTCGTCACCAGCAAGGGTTTGCATTCTCTTCGGCTCGCCAGAACGGCTGGACCTCGACCCCTTGCGCGAGCTGCCATGATTGCCTCCCGCAAGCCAGCCGCACGAGTAGGACGGCATGCCATTCTTCATCGGTAAGCTGCCGGCCCGGGCCTGCGAGAGGGACGCGCCCGCCCTGCCGCCACCCCTCAGCCGACCACACCGTGCTCCGCGAGAAGCTCTTCTTTGATGCGCTGGCGGGCACCATCAAGCGCCGCGCCTTGGGGCCCCAGCCGAGGGGCTCTCGGGCCCGTGAGGTGCACCTTTCTTCCCCCCCGAATTTAAGTATCGACCTCCCAAGGCTGCTGCATGCAGCTGGTTTCGGCCCCGCCGCTAGGCCCGTTCCTGGATGCTTGGGCACCTCGCGGCGCCAGGAAAGCCAGCTGCTTGCGTGATTTGATGTTTCGTGTTGCTATCCTACCCTTTCGTCCCCCCCGAAAGGTGTGGATTTCAGCCGCCAGTCGTCGGTCGTGCCGCTCGTGGTCCTCGGGGACTCGGGCCTCCATGCCGATTCGGCGACGCTGCCGTCTCACGTGTGTAGCTCACCTGGCCGACGCAGAGCATACGGCCACCGTCCGCTCTGCTGGGGGTGCCTCGCGCTGCGCCGAATGTGACGAGGTTTCCTTCGCTCTTGGCCGTGGGCAGTGCGCGCGCTGCGAGGTGCCGCGCCGGAGAGTGCCGACCCTGTCCGCGATGGCGACACGCGGAGCGGGGCCCGCTCCCTTTGTTTCGCGGCGTCCCGCTGCACAGCCGGTGAAAGTACATGAAGGATGCATGGCAGAGGCATCCGATGCAGACCATCCTCCTCCCTCCCTTCCCTCCTCGCTTTAAGTCGGGCGTGTCCCCCTAGAGGGGGATTTTCGATGGAAAATGAAGAAACATTACCCCAAAAATCATGAAAAAATAGTCCAAAAATAGTCTGGGGACTACTTTTTGAGTATGTTTTAACCTTTTTGACATTTTTTGGGGTATTTCTTATTTTTCGTCGAAATCCCCCTGTAGGGGGACACGCCCGACTTAATCCTCGCTCTCCCCCATCTCCTCCTCATCATCATTCCTCCCATCCCCCGTCGCATCCTCGTCAGCCTCCTCGTCCCCCTCTTCCTGTTGCTGCTGGATGTGTGCGCACTCGTCGGGGAGTGGTCGCGGGGCTGGTAGCGGGGTGGTAGCAGCAAGCCGTTGCTGTCTTCCGGGGACGGGGGGTAAGGATGCTGATGCAGATGATGAAGATGACGATGATGACGATGATGATGATGATGATGATGATGATGATGATGATGATGATGATGATGATGATGTTGCTGCTTATGGTGAATATGATTATGATGTTGAGGATAATGATGAGGATGATGATGATGATGGTGGTAGTGATGATAGCGACGATGATGATGCTGAGTATGATGAGTAAGATGATGATGATGATGATGATGATGATGATGATGATGATGATGATGATGATGATGACGATGCTGATGATGCTGCTGACGATGATGATGATTATGGTGATGATGATGCCGTTGACGATGTGTACGATGATCAGGATCATGATGATGGTGATGGTGATGGTGGTGTTGCCGATGCTGGTGATGGTGCTGGTGGTGACGTTGATCATGCGGGAGGTAGTGATGGGAAGCAGGAGGGGGAGGAAGTGCAGCGTTGAGAGACCAGCTGCAATAGGGATGCATGTGCTCAGCTGCTCATCCGAACCGTCGCGCCCTTAGCTTCGGATGTCAGAACGACGCAGCCGCCAGCATCTCGGGCCACAACCCATGGTGAGCATTACCACGATGTGCAAGTGGCGGAGGAGGGACATGATTATGAAGAGGCGGATGATGATGAGGATGATTGTGATTATGATGTTGCTGTCAGCGATGATGATGATGAATGATGATGGTGAAGCTTGTGATGGTGATGATGATGGCGATGATGATGCTGATGATGTTGTTGCTGATCATGATGATGATGCGATTGATGATGATGGTAGTGGGAATGATGATGATTGTGGTGTTACGGATGACGATGATGATGATGATGATGCTGATGATGATGATGATGATGATGATGATGATGATGATGATGATGATGATGATGTTGCGGATGATTTTGATTATGAAGAGGAGGATGAAGAGAAGGATGCTGATTAGGATGAGGACGATGGCGGCGATGAAGACGATGATGATGCTGACGATGACGGTGGTGATGATGATGGTGATCATACTGTACATACGATGATGATGAGGGCGGGGTGGTGGCTGGTCGTGGACGGAATTTTGGCAACCATTGCAGTCACGTTGCAGGCGCGGCCCAGGCCGCATTTTGCATGGGCTCTTTTGAGATCCCAGCATGTTCCGAGCGATCATCATGCCAAGAAAGGTCCTGGGATCTTTGTGTTATCGGGCTGTGGTTTGACAAGGGAGGGAGGATGAGGACGAGGAGGAGGAAGGGGGGGAAGAGGAGGAAGGGGGGAGGAGAAGGAGGATGCGCAGGAAGAGGAGAAGGACGAGGAGGATGATGAGGAGGAGGAAAAACGCAGAACATGGATTTCAGCGGACGTGGCAGGGGCATGCTACTTAGCGGCGGTTCGAGTGTCTGGCCCCTGCAGCAAGACATGGGCATGAAGATAGAGATGCAACTGGCATGTGCACGGAGGTATACTGGTAGAGTAACAGATGTTGTGGCCATCTGCTTGGGCATGTATGGGTTCACTTTGCCATCATTGTTTTATGAATGCTGTCTACTATCTCGTACCTTCCATGGGCAGTCTGCCGAGGCTGCCGGGGGGCTCTTGTGTGCCTCTGGGAGCCTCTTGGGGGCATCCTGGGAGCATGCTTGCGATCTCGGGGGCCATCTTGAAAGGGAGGGTTCTGGGGCCCCTTTTGATGAGATCTCCCTTTTGGGATCATCTTGGGATTGTCTTGGGAGCATGTTCGGCCCAATGGGGAGGCTGAGGAGCCGTCCTTGGGCTCTCTTGGGCTGTCTCGGGAATGTTCGACCCCAGAAATGCGATAATGCCAGAATCACACGGCAATGCGTTGATTTTGATTTCTTGGACCAACCCAGGGCCCCGAATACTCCAAGACAGCCCACTGGTCCCTCGAGAGAGCTCCAAGGCCCGAAAAATTCTGCTACGAACCCCAGAAGCGGCCAGGAGCGCTGGAGACAGCCCAGAAGTCGGGCGTCCACGGCAGTTGCAGGGCACTTACAAGATTCCATGTCGGGTGCCCGGAGGCGCTTAAGCATGTCCCACCCAGTCCCCACGGCAAGGTGCCGAAAATGGAACATAGCGAGGGAGATTCAGAGACAGAGGTGGAGAGAGAGAGAGAGAGGAACAAAACGACAAAAAAAGTGTCACGACGGTGCGAGGCTGTGCGAATTTGCGCGGTCCTCCTCTCGCCGTTGACTCCGGACACCACGCCTTCTTTCTGATGTTGTTGACACCTTCCAGCAAGGGTGCCTCTTGATCAGGCTGGTCATGAAGGGATGCACGTGCCACGTGACAGTTTATTGCCGCAACTCATCAGGCAAATCGCTGGACATGGCTGGAATGTATCACAGCTGCGGCAAGATTCAAGTGCATGTGCTCTAGAGCTTACCTTGAGCAGTACTTGTTCGTCAGGGCCGCCAGTAGGGTCTTTTGCATATGGACGTGCGAACAAGTGAGTATGAAAGGCATGCTTGGGTCGACGCCATGAGCAAGTAAGCGACGCAAAAAAGGGGTCGTCTGCGCCGACGTTGGCGCGTAAGCTGCCCGCGTAACTTCGCGCGTGAGCGCCCTCGTCTCCAACGTAGCGTGCCGCGCTGGCGGCCCGCGTGAGCCGCCGCGTAAGGTCGCTATGTCGTCTCGCTTCAAGACCCGTTTTTGACCGACGCTCAAATGAGTTTTGTTTTCCGGCCCAGGCGTCGCAAAACAAGTCGGGATGGCTTGGCCCTCGTCGTTTTTGCCCTGGAGGCCGTCGCCCGGCCTCAGGACCGACAAGGGCGGCTTGGCATGAGAGGCCGTCCCCAGGGAAGGGTCCACGACTCTCGGGGGCCGGCGCCACGGAAAAGCTACGGGCGTCGAAGGAGAGGGTGCGTCGGCACACCGCTCGGGCCGGACGAAAGGGGGGGATTGGAAAGGGGGGGGTACGAAATTTGCTGCATGCAGCTGGTTTCGGCCCACCGAGGGGCCCATTCCTCGATACATAGCCGACTCCGGCGCCAGGAAGACCAGTTACGTGAGCTGATTCTCAACCCCCCCTTTGCTATCCCCCCCTTTCGCCCGACCCGAACAGCGGCGTTCCAAGCACGGCCCCATCGTGAACGGATCGGAGGGCTAACCTCTCGTCGGGGTCGGTATCGCGGGGACGGGACGCCAGGCTCTCTCTCTTCTCGGTCGCTTGCTTCGGTCGAGAGCCGTCCGCCCCGCGAGCATCCGTGGGCGCTCACATCGATCAGGAGGGGAAAAAACACAGACACAAGTAATCGCCGATTACCAGGAAACTGTGGGAAAATATGGGAATTGGGGGGGAAGACGAAGACCCGGAAACTATGGGAAAATATGGGGCACCGTTTTATTTGTGTTTGTATTTATTTGTGTGTCCTTGGGCCCCTTGAACATCAAGGAGAGGCTCGACGGCGCTGCGACGGCGGCAGGCTGCCAGCCAGTCCTCTTCGCGAGGCCTCCGGAGCCCCATGGCGGCAGAGGGCAGTGCGCCCAGAAGGCAGGCCCGCGGAAGCTGGCGCAAGCACACGGGGGGGACGGGGGGGGGGGCGACTTCGCGGGCGGAAGCCCGGCGGGAGTCGATGGTGCACCCTCCAGACGGCCCTGAGTCAGGAGGGAAAAACAACAAAACACACAGACACAAATTAGTCCTCCATCCCCCAGAAGATATGGGAAAGTATGGGAAGTGGGGGGGAAGACGAAAACCGAGAAGATATGGGAAAATATGGGGCATCCTTTTATTTGTGTGCATTTATATATATATATATATATATATATATATATATATATGTGTGTGTGTGTGTGTGTGTCCCAGGGCCCCTTCAGGATCGCCTCGAAGCAAGGAGTCCTGAGGGAAAAGGGCCTCGGACTGTCAAAGAAAAACAGCCGAGGACGAAGGGGGGGGGGTGGATATCATGGCGGGGGCCATGATGTTCCCCCAGATTTCATGTCGCCTCTTTTTGTTTCATCACGTCCCTGGCCCCCCCGCTGGGCCGCGCACATGCCGCCGGTCATGATTTGAACACCCCCTCTTGGACACCCCCCTCTTGGCCGCTCCCGACTTCATCGCCACGGCCGGAAATTCTCTGCGGAATCCTGGTCAGAACCCGCCACTCGAGTGGTTCAGGGAGTAACGGTATCGGTATCTTGTGGCTCCCCCATGTTCATGTTACGTCGGGCGTGTCCCTCTACAGGAGGAATATTCAGAAGTAGTCAGAAAAAAGTATGGGGATTATTTTTTAAGTATTTTGGCGCATCTTTTGAGCATATTTTGAATATGTTTTATTTTTCGTCCAAAATCCCCGTGTAGGGGGACAGGCCCGACCTAATGTTAATGACGTCCCAGTCCCCAGGCGTCGACAGTCCGAGTTCTTCGAAATGTTCCGGCCAGCGGAGCGGAGCGGCACGGCATCCGCTTGCAAGGCGTAGCGTGTCGCTTGGGCCGCCGCCGCGACACGCTGAGCACGAGTTCCTGCCGTATACCAGAGGAGGAGGCTGGATCTTGGCGGTTCTAGGACTTGCTCATGTACACTGTTTTGCCCCGTGCCGCCTCATAGCCCTGCAGGCCTCGAGGTGTCACGGTGGTGCATGGAGAGTCCCGACAATGAGTTGCAGTCCTCTTTCTTGGGAGTTCGAGGGTAGCTTCGTGGAGCCGCACCCCGTCCGACAGAAGCAAGGAGGTCGCGTCTGCACTTCGTTCTTTTTTTTGCAGAGGATTCTCGCGACGGCACGCGCGCAAGGGCGATCGACAGATTTCGACATGCGCGCGCGCGAAACCCGTTTGGTAGCATTTTGTGACAATCTTGGAGAACCGATGGTTTTCTTTAAATTTCGCAAGAGCTCGCCTGTGATGCAGAAGTGCCTCGCCCCACAGACGATCGACGTGCAGGCATTGCCGCCGTCGCGTGCTCGGTCGGGCCCGGCGCTCGGCGGACCGCGCCGAAGTCTGGCTGTTCTCTCGGGAGCCTGCCCTGCGGCGCGCGCTCCGCTCGCTCCTGCTCCTTATGCGTAGCTGCTACCTGTCGCACCCCGAGGCCCGTCGCAAAGGCGGGCCGGGCGTTTCGCCTTAGATTCCCTCACCACTCATGATCTCGGGATCGGAAAAGAGCGGGGTGATGACTAGGGGGGGGGGATTTCATTGCGCGGGCCATGATTTTTCCTCAGATTTCATGGCGACTCTTCTTATTTCATTACGTCCCAGGCCCCCCCGCTGGGCCGCGCACGTGCCGCCGGTCATGATTTGCACCCCCACCTCTTGGACCCCCCCCTCTTGGCCGCTCCCGATGATCCTTGAGCTCTAGAATTGGCAACAGCCTCACACATGGAGGTCGGTCCGCTTCCAACATGTGCTTCTCTCTCTCTCTCTCTGTAGCGCCGCGCACATTCTTCTTGAAAGGTTGCAAGGGCTTCACGGATTGAGGGCGGGCAATTATCAAAATGTGGCTCTCTCTCTCTCTCTCTCTGTAGCACCGCGCACATTCTTTTTTCGAACAACTGCAATAATTTAACGGATTGAGGGCGGGCGGTGTTCAACATGTGGTTCTCGCTTTGCGCCGCGCACATTTGTCTTCAAGCATTGTAAGAGCTTCGCGGATTGAGGGCGGTTATTTCTCAAGCTGCTTCTCTCGCCTCAGCGCCGCGCGCATTCGTCTTAAGCAATTGCACAAGTTTCACGGGATCCCATGGTTAATCTACCAGAAATTGTGTTTCGAGCGACTCAGGATTGCCAGGGCGCAACAGTTACGCTGATTCGCGGTGTAGAAGTTTCAGGAATGGTCTTCTGCCGCGGTTCAAGATCGTCAAGACGCAACAGGCAGGTTAATTCGTGGCGTTGGAGTCCCGAGAATGGTGGCGTGGCACGCTTCATGATCTTCAACCGATTGTCTCCCGACGGAGGACTTCCCTAAGTGGAAATGAATCTTTGTAGGGGCCTATGAAGAGGGAGCTTGGAGGGCGGGTGTATCCCAACATCGTCGATGAGTCTTGGGTTTGCATTGGTCCTCTTCCTCCTCCTCCCGTCCTCCCTCCGCCAGCCTCCCATCTAGTCCCTTCCCCCATTCCCTATACTCCCCCCTAGTCCCTTCTGCTCCCTTCTCCTCTCTCCTTCCTCCCTCCACCATCCTGCTACACATTGTCTCGTGCACCTCTCCTGGTGTGCGCTTCGTACAGAAACCGCGAGGGGAAGCCAGGCCGCGGCGACGAGAAGTTCTCCGGAGGCCCCAAAAGGACGGACCAGAGAACAGAGATCGCCTCTCAAAAAATTCAAAAGTGGAAATAGCTGCTTGGTCGCAGTTTTCACAGATCGAGAAACTTCGAAGTTCGATTAATCTCTTCTCCGCTGTCCCTTCCTGCCCGGTTCAACCCCCGCCGCTCCCGCCAGGAACTCAGCATCAGGATTCTCACGGAGCTGGGCGCGGCCCCTGCGGGGGGCGCCGGTGCACTTCGCTGGGAAGACACGGCCCTGCTTCGCCGCTCTCTACCTCCTTTGCGCCCGAGTGCGTATTTGAGTGTGTGTGTGTGGCGTGGTCGCGACGCTGGAAAGTATGTGTGTTGTGTGTGTGTTTGTGTTTGTGTGTGCGAGTGTGCGTGTGTGTATGTGTCTGTGCGTGCGTACGTGTGTGTGTGTGTGTGTGTGTCCGTGTGTGTTGTGTGTATGTGTGTCCCTGTGTTTTTGTGTGTGGGTCCGTGTGTGTTGTGTGTGTTGTTTGTGTGTTTGTGTGTTTGACCGTGTGCTTATTGTTGGTTTTGAGGTCTCACTCTTGGAGAATAGTTATTGTATGTTGATCCCGCACATTGTGCGTTTCAATTGAAGTGCCCCCCTCGGGGCCCGCACCCAGTTTTTATGAGGGAGAAGTTGTATGTTTAAATTGTGTCCCTTTCCCCCGGTTTGCAACAACAGCGGCTCTCGCCTGATACCTACTCACAAATTATTCCAAAATTGCGCTCTCGCGCGGGACTTCCTCACAAGGTATGCAGGAATCGCGTTCTCGCGTGGGACTCCTTCAGATTTATTCAGATGCCGCGCCCCCGACACTCAGGAATCACGCGCTCGAGATTCCGCCGCGATTCATGCAAGATTCTCGACCCGCCTCCCCGACCCACCCATTAGGGTCTGACCGCCCGATCTTCCTGTTTGGTTCTGCCACGTGTTTTCTGCTCCTAGTCCCCCTCCTGCTAATTTCTCGCGTGCTCCATCTTCTCCCTTCCCCTTCCATCC